GTAGTCTAATTCGACCAATTTGGCCGAATGAGGAAGTCATCGCCGCCACGGAGGCCTACTTTGCAGACTTCGAGAAAACGTATTTTTCAGATGGCTTAAAGAAGTTGGAGCATCGCTGGGGCAAGTGTATCGAGCTAAAAGGAGACTATGTTGAGAAATAAATCGTCACTTTTCCAAAATTTTCGTTTTTCTTTTGTAGGCTAAGTACTTATCGGACCGCCCTCGTATATATAAATATTTATATACAAGGTGTCCCAGACCACCCGTCTCACCCGATTTTTTCGTAAACGCGACATTTTAAAGAAAAATGTTTCAGACAAAAGTTTTGTGACTTCGAGGGGCACATAAGATGGTGTCATCGGTTTGACCTTAGATAGTCGTTTGAAGATCACGTGAAGGTCACCTTTAATTTCTTAAATAGAAACCCCCATTTTTCAATGCATANTATATAATATTTGACTATGTAAAAAAAACCTTTGCACAAGAAGCGTATGCTGCTAGCACGTCAAAAACAACTTAATGGACATTAATGGCAGTTGTTGATAACAAACGAACAGCGCCTTCGTACGAAAAGAGCGGCTCCGGATGGGCGCCATCTGGCGTTGTTCGTTCACCGCGGGTAAATTTGCCTGAGCGCCGAACGGCGCTGTTCGCTGAGAATGAGCATCTATAGCTGAGCGCCTAAAGGCGCTGTTCGCCGCGAAAGGGTTAAAAAAACGTTTCATTATAGCGTTTTGGAAAGCTCTCGAGGTAAGCTACAAGAATATGCATTGAAAAATGGGGGTTTCCATTTAAGAAATTAAAGGTGACCTTCACGTGATCTTCAAACGACTATCCAAGGTCAAACCAATGACACCATCTTATGTGCCCCTCGAAGTCACAAAACTTTTGTCTGAAATATTTTTCTTTAAAATGTCGCGTTTACGAAAAAATCGGGTGAGACGGGTGGTCTGGGACACCCTGTATATATAAATATTACTACAAAAACTTATTAATATAAAAACTATTAATATAAAAACTATTAATATAAAATATTAATATAAAAACTTATATATATATATAAATATTTAGCGAAGTTGAAGTCGCGAAAGTGTCAAAGTCGAACTCGCACTGAATTTAAAGCGATTATGCGAATAATATGGAACGTTGATTTATCAAACAACGCTTCTGTTCCTATATTCCTATATTTTTATTAATTATCCTTTTTATATAAACTGCTAATTGCTCTACTTAGTTGATATTTGTTATTTCGTTATTGGCGAATTGGATATTTTATTGTCGACATTCAATATATAAACAGTATTTCATATATGAAAGTTGTGTTTTATATATATGTAATTGTCGGCGTAAGGTGCCGCGGTTTTTCGCATCCTCATAGATGGTTAATTTTGGAATATTTGATAAATAATACGTATAGAAAAACTCTTTCACATTTAATCGCAAAATACAATAGGACAAATTAGAGCAGATACTATGTTCTTATTGTGACAATTTAATATAGATAATAATATTTGATTTAATATAGATCTAGAAAGAAGTTAATTTTTAAATAACGTTTAAAGAGATTAAAATTTCACAGAAATATTTAATAAGTAAATAAATAATTCAAGCAAAGACGAGTCGAGGTCTCGATAATCTCGATAGTTCTTTAACATATCATCAAGTATATTGGATTTGAATTATCTTTAGCAATAAAAGCAAATTTTAAGCAAATTTATCGGACATAAATCGGAATTTTGTGTTTCTATATCTTTAGCGCAATGACATAAATCTGATGTCATTTTCTATCGGATAAACCGATTAAATAATGTAGCATATTTTAATTGAAACACAACTTAATCAGATAAAACAACGACAAGATGGAATATTTCATTTGATCGGATAAAATAGAAATGATGATTCGATATCCGGTAATATTATCCGATAAAAGATGATAATCGCTGAAATTGTATTAACATCCGATGAAGGTCAACTAACAGCCAGATTGTTATTCGATCAATAGTGAAATCGATTGGATAATCTCAACGAATATTGATAAAGAAGAACGGATATAGACGACATTAATGTATTATTCAAGTGTGCGTCAAACCCGATTTGGACGATCTCCAGTGAAAGATCTTTGCCGCAGCGAACTCCTCGTTTTCTTCTTTTTTACGTTGTTTACTGCTACAAGAAGAACCGTGTTATATAATATGTGACATACATCGTATATTGAAAGAAATGAAAGAAGAGATTATTGCTTTGCTAATAAGCACATTCAAAGTTCGTCAATAAGTAAACTTCATGCTTTTAACATAAAAAAATTCTTTCCAGCGGAAAAAACATACGATATTTTTATATTTACATTTTTACATTACATTACGATATTCACTCTGTCGATACTAAAAATCTGTATTTCTAATATGATCTATAATTCATGTGACATATACTGGCAGCGAATATTTTGATGCAGAAAATTACACAATATTCGCCAGCAAATGTACCCAGTCATTCCCGTTTTACTATCATGTAAAACGAATCGAGATACGTGTCTAAATTGTCAACGCACTCCAACAACAAATCAAACATTATCTTCAGCTTGCCAGACGATAAGGTCGACCTCAAAATTGTCCAAGTTGGATTGTCCAAGTCTTTAGCTGTACTGCTTCGATTGCAGAAATATTTTCATTACCATAAATTTTCATTACCATAGAAAAAATATAAATATATCGGATTCGTATGTGTAGATATTACGACCAATATGACCATTTCGTCGAGTCGCGTCAAGACAGAAAAATTATCAAAGAAAAAAGAAAAGAGATGTTTTTCGAAGCAGCCAAGTAAGACGATATATTTAATATCATAAAGACCTAGAAGTCTGTCAGCCGGCCAGAAGGATAAATCCAGTTTTGCACTAAAATCCCAAGAAAAGGCAATTAATTTCATCATCATTTTTATCCACAGTAAAATGTGTCAATGATATTGTTTTCATACATTATCTTTCATGCCTGCAACTAATTTTGTTATATTAGCGTCTGTTGTAGAGGCTGATTCGATAGAACAGTCTCACTTTCTATATTTACGGAAACAATTATGCATCATAAACTGACCCTAAAACTAGCAGCTTCCTGGGAAGTTACTTTTCAATACAGACGGAAGCAACTAGTGGATCAGCCAGTAACAGTGTGGAGCTATTTAAACGAATATAAGTTTTTACAAAGTCCTTAGTAAGTTTTCTTTGTAAACTCAATAATATAATGGTCTTATAGGAGATTAACGTCGAAGATTCACGTTTTTACAGGCCTCCACCATGTTATCGCCGGCTCCTGATCTCGCTGAGTATCCAGGTTATAGCGTCGCCATGGCACTACACACCGATCCATCTCGTCCACTAATACTACCGTACTCCATCCGAAGAACCGTGTCGTTACATCCAGGAACAACTACCAAACGATGTACCGAACCGTCGCATCCGTCCGTACGCCTGCGTACCTGTTTTATCCATCGGCAGACACCGCTGCCGGGGATCCGTTTATCGTCATCCTGACTGCCTTTTACTGTCCTTACGACCGTCCAGCGACAGAACGGCGATCCAACATCCGCCGGACCTGTATATTTTGTATATAACCGATTATGGATCATCGTGGTCCGCCCGTCCGAACAAGCATTATCAAACGTTTATAACCGCCGAAGGTGACAAAAAATGTCTAAAAAGAAAGTTGTACCGTTTGAGAGGATAATTATGACGACAAGAAAGTTATTCAAAGTTATTTGTTCGATTACACATATTTACGCTCCTACGATAACCCGCATCCGATAAACTGTATCTGCAGATTAACACGCAGTTACTTAAGACGCAAAATGTGCGCGCGAATACACGGAATGACATTGCGCGTCTTACGTAACACGAGATATCATGAGTCGTGCAGGCTGCTTTTTCTTATTTTCTTAAATATCATACCACAATTATACACATTATACACAATTATACACATTAATATCTCAATTACTTCTACTTATATAATATAATATAATGTATTCGATGTAAAAGGATCTTACGGAGGTCACTCGAAAGAAACGAAAATAAAGTAATAAGCATAAATGGCATATAAATATTTTTTTATATACAAAAACTCTAACTTTCTGACGTAAATCTATATTCATGGTCTTTTAATAAACTGTTAACTTTTAATAAACCTAAATTTTTTCTTTTTAGAATTCCAGGGTTCTAGGATATTTAGAATCTCCTGAGAGATATCTGATATATATCTGAGAGATACATGTGACCATTTTTTCACATAATCAGAAGGATTTATTTATGAATATATAAAAATAAATAATTTATCATATATATATCAATGTGTCAGTGATATGCATATAACGAACGACGTCGAATCCAGCCGAAATGACTCGACAACTTTTCACTTCACTTCTCCTTTTTACTCCTCTGTCTAAATCAGCATTATACTCGGACTATATATTCTTATCCCAATGTCTGATATCATTTAGATACTGTCATTCGTTCATAGACTGCTGCGCGATAAATTGCACACTTGTCAACAGGCTAAAAGACCTTTTATAGGCTAAAAGACGGATAGAGTTAAGCATAATATTTAAATATCACTTTCTAGAAGATCGATAAAATTATTATAACGTTAAATTTCAGTGGTACATTTCCGGTGTTTCTGCGAAATATTAATCTGAGATCGGACACGAAGAAAAGATGTCGAAAAGATGTCCAAATGCCACAAGTTCATAAATTTTAATAATTGCAATTTTAGATATTAGGATTCCGAATTATCGATTTCGGATATGAATTCCTACGAAAAAGAAATTCGCGTCGGAAAGTATTAAAGTCAAGAATACATATGTGAATATTTTGGATTTTGTGCTAATCAGTTTCAGTGCATTTTAAATACGTTTCATGTTATATTAAAGGAGAGAAAAATATACGAAAGGTAAGTACAAGTCATATTCCGTATATGAAATATCTTCAAAGAAAGGTACCGTTTTATGTGACGGTGTCTAGCAACGAATCAAATGAATGGCAAGATTGAATAGATAAATAAAATCATGAATTTAACAGATAGATTAATTAAAGATATTTATAAACTGATATCATTAAAAAGTTCGTCAAATTACGCTTTATATGTTAACAAACGTGTAACATAATGCATCTTTAAACATATTAATAAAAGTAGACATTTTTATATAGATAATCACTAAAATGGCGATTACCACGAGTTATTCGGTCATGAATGGCGTAATTGTTCTGCTGGTAACAATCATGGTATCCGCGTATCTTTTTATGACTCGCAAGTTCAACTATTGGAAAAACCGAGGTGTTTTCGAGGTAAAACCGTTGCCATTTTTCGGTAACATCATGGACATGGTGTTCCTGAAACAATCTGGTGGCTTTCTTATGAGGGACTTGTACAACAGAGCAAAAACAGAATCTTACATAGGTTTTTATATGTTCGACAAGCCTTGCTTGTTGATACGAGATCGGCGAATAATCCAAGACATACTAATAAAGGACTTTAATTATTTCTGCAATCATTACTGTAATTCTGATCCAAAGGATAGTCTGGGTTGCTCTAATCTACTATTAATGAGAAATCCAACATGGAAAATTGTAAGAACCAAGTTAACGCCGATCTTCTCGTCCGGCAAACTCAAGAAAATGTTTGAATTGTTGATGGAGTGCACTATCAATCTAGACAGGTACTGCGATTCTTTAGGACTAAATGGTAAATACTATTCCAAATACAAGAATAATTAATAAAGTACGCACATCGAGCTTCAAAGAGTTACAAAATTAAGCTTCAAAGAATTACAAAATAAGCTTCAAAGAGTTACAAAAAAAAATAATGGCGAGTTGATACAAGTTCATTAATCTCTTCGTTTATTCTTCGTGACAATAACAATATGTTATTTGATATAAGATACTTATTATTCAACGGGTTAATTTGAAATATTTGTTTGAAGATAAGGAAAAAGCAGTAAATGTGAAGGATTTAATCGGAAATTTAACTACGGACATGATTGGTAGTACCGCTTATGGACTCAACATTGATTCGATAAACAATCCACAGTGTGCATTCCGCAAAAGCGGAAAGGCGATATTTCACCTTGATATTTATCGCTCAATTGAATTGTTCATAATTTTCTATTATCCGAGTTTATCTCGTCTGTTCGGTACACGATTTTTCAGTGAGAAAAGCAATACTTTTTTGCGCAAAACCTTCTGGAATACGATCAACCGTCGTATGGAGTCCGGTGAAAAACGGGGCGACCTCATCGATATTCTTATCGACTTTAAGAGAGAATACGCCAATCGAAATTTGGAGAACTTTGGTAAGTAAAACATGATCAATAGTAATGGCTCTTTCACGTCATGAAAGAAAGTTTCTTAACTGTGTTTAATTCTCGAAAGAAAAAGGCCTCTTACGGAAAGTTTGTAAATGCATAAATAACAGAAATCAATCGTGATAAATTTAATTAGATTCTTGTCTCTATATGTAAGTTTTATACGTTCTATCCTATACAACACAGATTCCAAGGATAAAGTGTGTGTGGTGTATCTGAGCGATAATCTTAGAACTTAAAACCAACTATAAAACCAAATGATGGAAGCTCATAAAAATCCAGAAATATGGGAATCGTTAATATGTATGTTTTTAGAATTGGATGGAGACGGCTTAGTGGCGCAGGCGTCTATTTTCTTCTCTGCCGGTTTCGAGACCAGTTCATCGACGGTATCCTTCACATTATACGAGATCGCGGTGCAACCAAAAATCCAAGACAAACTCAGGAAAGAAATTTTCGATGCATTCAAGGAGAACGATGGAAAAATCACATACGAAATGGTATATATGATTATTGTACAGGCTGTTACACACAGAACAGTATGCGAGATTGTCGCTACAGAAGTACGTGTAAGAGAGTGAGAACATGTTCGAGACAGCTTGGGTTCGCGCGGCATACTTTCACTTTGTCTCACGCGTGCCCTTGCAGCGGCATACTGTTCTGTATATAAACAACACTTTTATACTATTATGGCCGACTGATGTCAAATAATATAAACAGCGAATGAAACGCTAGTACTTTCGACACTAATACTGCGAACGTTTTCGCTCAATTTTCTTCATTTTTGCTAAAAATGTTCTTCACTTTATTTTAAGATTTAATGTTTGGTAAATGAAATAATTATGAAATTGACGATTATTCGTTATCAGGTTCTGTCACTGAAGTATCTTCATATGGTGATTTCCGAAACCCTGAGGAAGTATCCAACATTGACAATCCTTGATCGCGAGACGGTACAGAGTTACAAAATTACTGACACCGACCTGGTTATTGAAAAGGGTACCCCGATTTTCATCTCGTTGCTTGGCTTGCACTATGATCCGGAATACTTTCCCGATCCCGAGAAATACGATCCAGAACGATTCAACGAAGAGAACATTCACAAAATAGCGAAAGGCACTTATATGCCATTTGGAACTGGTCCTCGCAAATGTATAGGTGAGATATCATCTTTCTTTTCGATATTAAAGAAGACTTTAAATTTTATGAAGTTGTTTCGAGATATCTCATGAAACGTTAAAGACAAAAAGTTTATTATAAATAAATTATTATGGAAGAAATATTTTTAACGAAGCGTAATCGAGAAATGGTAGAGCAAAAACATTTTAAATTTATCACAATATTAATTAGTAAACATAAAGAAAAATATGTAATTATGTTAAAAAATTTGAAATCTCTCGATGGAAACATCAAATTGGGAGAGAAAAATACAGCGACAACGAAAATGTCTATTGAGTCTAAGACTTCTACCCGATTATTATTATTATCCTCATTTATTAGAGTATTAAAAAAAATTTCACAACACTGTTGTATGTCTTACAGGTTATCGTTTAGGGTTTTTGCAGACGAAACTGTCGCTCGTCAAGATATTGAGCCAGTATGAAGTGACATCATGTGAGAAGACTATGATACCGATGGTCATAGATACAAAAAGTATCGTGACGACGCCGGTGAGCGGTGAAATATGGCTCAACTTACGAAAGATTAATATTATTTAAAATCTAATACAAATTAAAATCTGCACTGAAAGAAAAAATATCTTAATATGAAAACATTGTACTTCACCGAATAAAACTGTTCATATAGTGGCACCTCACAGCTTATTTACTTGCACTCAATTCAGAAAATTTCTTAATTTAAATATCTATTTAAAACTTGACAAAAATTTGTATACAAAACATACGTATGCTTTAATGGAAAAATATGTTCTTCATATCGGAAATGAGATTCCAACTATGAAAAAAAATATTTCTTATAGAAAAGAAAGTATGAATAAGTATTAAACAAAAAAGTAAAAAAATATTTAATAATACTTAATGATAAATAGTTTTGATAAGAAAAATAATTATTTTATTAAAACTGTATTTTAATATTAAGAAATCGTCAGAATATTTACACTCCACACAACCTCTTTTGTGACGGTTTCATTCTTTTGAAAGAAATGTGGCGGCATGACGTGACCCTTATTGGAGGATCAATAATAGCCCTTCCGGAATTTTTGGTAGATCCTGTACAAGAGTTTTTTGATAAGTCTGGTAAAAAAGGAAATAAAGTACATTTTTTTTTAATCTTTTATTTCTCAATGCAGTCTCCATCGTGGCGATAAACGTCGAAGATGATACATTTGGCCCATCGAGTTTCCAATTATTTAATATTGTCGAAAATACATACATTAAAGCTTATAACATATTGTTACGTCCCGGTTACCTCAGGAACTACGAATTCCTTTTTTTTTACATGATTAGAAAGCAGGCAGACTCCGGGCAAGCGCTATTGTAAAAAGGATAAGATTACGATGGCTCGCTGTTAAACGCGCCATGTGTTTCCCAACGCGTCTTTCATCTTTTCCGCCTTCACGTAAGGCACGTAGTTTTGTTACATCCTGGGTACCCCGGGAACAACGAATCCTTCTCTTTATGAACAGGAAATAGACGGATTTGGGCAAGCGCTATTGTAAAAAGAATAAGATATTCGCCGCCAAATACGTCATATGTTGCCCAACGTGTCTATCATCTTTTCCGCCTTCACACGTGATCGGCCGGACTCAGGCCCTTCGATGGGATTAGGATCTTGGGATCGTTTATGACTCCTGATAATGTTAAGAGTTTTCTAGGTATCCATTTCACAACCTTCCATATCCGTTTTCCACGAAAACTGCTCTCATTGGCGATCGTCATCTGTCATTCCCCAAAATTTTCTCTATAAAAACCTTACTCTCTAGCCACTCCACAGTCAATGTCAGTCAGTCAATCAATGTCAATCGGTCAGTGTCGGTCAGCCAGCAAGTGTCAGTCAATCAGTGTCAGTCAGTCAGCTAGTGTCAGTCAGTCAGTATCAGTCAGTGAATGTCAGTCAGTGAATTATTTTCTCTTAATCTTCTGCTGTCGAACAACTCGCTGTTCAAATCGGGATCTCTCTAGAGTCAGTGTCAGTAAGTCAGTCAGAGGCAGTCAGTCAATCAGTTAGTCAGTCACTTCTTCTGCTACTGAGTAACACGCTGTGCAAGTCGCGATCTTTTAAATGAACTATTTCTCTCGGTATTCCAGGATCCCATAAATCCGGTACACCACGATTAACGAACCCATGTTCTACGTATTATATTCACCACAGTTGATTCACCTAAATCGTAAGTCTCTATTTCATATTTAAACATGACTTTTAATCATTTCAATCCAATTTCCAACTCCATTTCACTCCTCAAAACACACACATAATTATACGTAATTATTATCTTCTTTGTATTATATAATGATGTTTTTCTCGCCATACCGATACGTTAAACATTCTTGTTACGTTAAATCCGATTGTATTATATTAAGTTACGCGGATTACTTTTTTACTTAATCTTACTTTAATCTTCATCTTGTATTTGCATTATTCCAATAATGCTGATTTATAAAAGTTTGTTTAATGTTAACCCATATATCTCATTGTTTAACTTTAGCTAACCCTTTCATCTTTTAAATATTGTATCTTTTACAATGACTTTTCTCATTAATTTACCACTATTATTAATCCATGTGAGAACCAAATTATGTTATTAGTATAATTAATAAACTGTTTGATTCAAAATGCCCCAAATTTAACCAAATTGTTAAAATTATTTATTCATTTACTTTCAATTAATTAAATCTGAATTCCCCTTTCAACACTCTCATTTGGTCCTATCCCAGGTAAAGAGATTAAGTTCTTTGACCTAAATGAAGGATCAGCTAACGTACGTTCTGTGATCGGAGTAAATGGGCCTCTCCGGATCTTGACCTGATCCGCAGGTGTACCAGTACGTTTAGGCCTCGCGAGTGCGCGAGTAAACGATGTTTGTTGTGTACATCCTCTTCCAGAACGTAACAATAGTAATATTCAGATAGATCAAAATGTTTGCAATGTCGACAGTACTTATTAGTATCTGCCGAGTAATGTAGATAGAGAGACGTGCTATGACAGCTGTGATAAGCAAACGAAAGAGTATAACACTAGAATAGCGTCGGCAAATATAGTAGCTTCGCAAAAATAGGAAGTCTTCTTGGAAGATTTCTAGTGCTTAGGATATATGTTATGACTTGTTATCAAGCTGTATAACTTATTAAACGTCATGGAACGCCAGATAATATTCCTCGTTTTCTTTAACTATTTCATATATAAGTACGCAACGAATCAAACTTAATCTTCCTAACTGTACGTAAGTATATGTCCACCACTGTAGAACTTGGGCAAAGTAATTAGATTTTAATTAATAATTTGAATTAAGTTTTTGTATTTGCACAGAAATCGCGTACGCGTGGCATTTCAACCGGGATATGTATCTAATAGTGTTGTAACAAATATATTATTTTAATAAATATAAAGTTGAGATGAATAACTAGAAACAGATATTAGATATGCTTCAGATATTTTTCAAGAATGTATTAAATGAAAATAACAAAGTTAAAAAAAAATTCAATTCATTTTGCAAATATGGGAAAGAATAAAAAATGATAAATATATTAATTATAATTTTCGTAATTGTAAAAAGTCGTGTCTATATTTAAAACATTAAGTTTAGATAACGTGATAAAATGAATCTAGTTACAGATTCTGTTACTGAAAGTGAAAAATGTAACTAAGTTGCAGAAAAAGATGCACAAAAGATATCTAGATATTGCAATTAAATACATGTAACTACGCACATTACAACACTGGCATCAAAGAACATTTATGTTTAAATCAAAATAATAAAAATTCTTATTTAACTTCTATTCTATATATTTTTTTCATGAAATTATCTATGTCACCGGTAAAAAAAAGAATAACTAAGATATTACATGGTTACGAGTACATGCGTCACATTTGAGGAATTTCTCGATAGCAGTATAAAATCGCATAATAATTGCAAACGAGAATCATTTACAAACGAGAATAACAAATGACAAAAACTAAATCTGTCCATGATTCCGGCGTTGCGTAATTTAACATGTACTATATTACATGTATTATACTATATTATATCGTCTGTCTCTTTCTTTATCCTCTTGATCTTTCAGGGTCAAATGCGATATTTATAAGAGTATTTTGAATCGAGGAGTTTTTCTTTCTTGCTCATGCATGTCGAATGCATGTTTACGCAATTATCTATCGATTGCTACTGACGTTGACATGGCATGAAGTAAGAAGTTTCTAATTGTTACGGTCTGATTTCAAAACAAATCGACGCCAAGATGACTTCTTACTATAACAAAAATATTAGAAATTCAGATACCGAAAATGATAGAACAAAATATTTTATGTATAAATAACAACATTTTATGAAGATTGCTCCAACAAACCGTGTCTATATATAAATTGTTTCAATGAAATATGTCGTATTATTTGATTATAAACGCAGAACATTAAAAAAAAATAATATTTTACTTGTTTCACAAGCTATGGTTTTAATGTGTTCTGTTTTATTCTACGGTATCTTCTTTATTGTTCTTCAATTTCTAATTTTGAAACTTATTTCTTTTGTTCTATTACGCACTTTATACTTTGAATATTCACTTTCATAATAAATAACTTTCCAATGCACAAAAAACAATAACTAAATAACTATAACACATTTATCGAGCTCCACAACATATACCGTTTTCGGTACATGCGGCGTGAATTGAAATGCGCATAAAAAAAAGTAACGTATTAATCGGAAAATTGCAAATAAAAATACAAAGTTCTTGATCGCAACGCGCAATCTATGTCCAGACCGTCGAAATAAAATTTGTGGATAGCTAAAATGAAAATCATAATCGAATGTAAATATACGTACAAGAATGTTTCACATTCTAACATTTTTATTTCTCGTCTCGTGTCAAGGCATAAAAGGTTATTAGATAAATTATCTGCTCCGAGAACGACATTAATAGATCGCTAGAATTCTACGCAACTTTTCTGACCTATTACGTATCGGTTATTGATAATTTCCTATAAAAGCTTCTTGTTTCCTAGTCATGTGTATTTCTCTCTTCTTCTAATATTATCACGCTTCAGAATATTTTAAAAATGCCGATACGTTAGATACAACTCTAGTCTATTTTCTGCATTTGCGTAGTGCTTGTCCCGTCGCATCCATCACGAAGATCAACGAAATGATTCACGTAAACGTAACTCATGTAAGCGCATCCACGCGTTCATATTATCTACGTGTTACGTTAGGCACGAACAAAATAAATGACATAAACGCATTCAAACATTAATATTGCCTACGCGTAAGAAGATTCTCGTCATTATACTGTGCATTATTTAATTCACCTTCGACACGTTTCGACAACTCTATGAAAGTAAAAGTACCGCGTTACAAAAAAATAGTGTAGTATTGTGTTGCATATTTCATTACACAGATTCTAGGCAATACATACCTATATCCCCTCTTAACCGTTTGAGTGCCACGGGCCTTTCTCATTTCCCGATCGAAACTTGCCAAGCGGCGCGATAGCGCTTGTTATATTCCGTGTCGAAACTTGCCAAGCGGCGCGATAGCGTTTGTTATATTCCGTGTCGAAAATTGCCAAGCGGCGCGATAGCGCTTGTTTTATTCCGTGTCGAAACTTGCCAAGCGACGCGATTGCGCTGTTTTCAGCTTACATGCAATAATCATTTCATATCTCTTTTTACCGAAGATTGAAAGGTCACCGTAAAGTTGTGCATCGAGAAAAACCGAGCCTGCTGTGATTATGGGCTTCGCAGCCCAGAGCGTTGCAGTTTTCAGAAGAGAACAGAAGAAGCGCGATCGCGCCGCTTGGCACTCAAACGGTTAATAAATGTATATAAGATCAGCGCTGATACTGTACAGAACTAGTTCTGTTACGCATTTCATATAAGTATATCGTAACCATACGCCGCGCAGGTTAGAGACAAAGTACCTTTCGGTATAGAAGTAAACATTACGATTTTTTTCAATAAATCTGTTTTCTATTCGTCTCGTTGAACTCCGCACATCCCGCCGTGCCATTCCTAATTCCCGAAAATAATCGTCGCGCCTCAAAACCGCCCAGATGACATCATAATTTAGTGACACTAATAGTGCAGTGTTTGAATATTCACGAAATAAATATTCACGAGCTTTAAATGCGTACTTTCGTATAAAAGAGATCTCTATTTTAAAATATTGAAATTACAGATACATATGTGAAGCGGCATATTTGAATTTCGTATCGAAATATTTAATTTGATTATCGTATCGAAAACTTCGAAAACATTTTTTGTGTACGCAAGAAAGAAGACAGATACATTTTGTAAGTACAAATATTATTTTATATGGCGTATTTTATGCACGATTTTTTCGAAGAAAAAAAGATCACTTTCTGTGACAATCTTTGACAATGGAATTAATTAAGCAACCGTTCAAATTATGGTGTCATTAACAATTTTTTTTTCTGATTTCTGACATTGCACGTTATCAAGCTGCTAACGCTCTGCATCTTTAAATACATATATGTAAAAGCAGGTATTTGTCATAGATAATTATTAAAATGGCGATAATCACGAGTTACTGGATTATGAACAGCATAATGATTGCAATAATAACAACCGTGGTAGCCGCCTACCTTTTCATGACTCGCAAATTCAATTACTGGAAGAAACGAGGCGTTTTCGAGATTAAACCATCACCATTTATGGGTAACTTTGCGGATTGCATCATGCAAAAAAGAAGCCCTGGCTTTATCATGAAAAATCTTTACAATCAAGCGAACAACCAGCCTTACGTAGGCTTTTATATATTTGATAAGCCTTGCTTATTGATACGCGACCCAGAAATATTGAAAAACATATTGGTAAAGGATTTTAATTATTTCTCCAATCGCTACTCTTCGACCAGCAAACAGGATAGCCTCGGATCCTCCAGCATTCTCCTTCTAAAAAATCCTGCCTGGAAAATGGTAAGGAATAAGCTAACGCCAATTTTCACATCTGGTAAGCTGAAGAAAATGTTCGAAGTGTTGATGAAAACAGTTGCGAATCTAGATTCGTATCTTAATAAGATGGAACTAGACGGTAGGTACTTTACCAAATTCAAGAATAGTTGATTAAATATCAATGTCAAGGTTCAAACAAAATTACACGAGAATAATAATACAAAATGATATGAATCGATAAAAAATGATTAACCTCCATATTTACTTATTATAATAACAATACATTTTCTGATACATAGAAAGGCCGTTGCTTAACAAACTAATTCGGAATATTTATCGCCAGGTAAGGGTAAAGTGATGGATTTAAAGGATTTGTGTGGCAATTTAACGACGGACATGACCGGCAACAACATTTATGGACTCGATATTGATTCGATAAATAATCCGAAGTGTGAATTCCGTGAAAAGGGGAAGGCGATATTCGAATTGTCTACCTTTCGTGGACTCGAATTTCTTATGATATTTTTCTATCCTGCTATGTCACGTTATATCAATCTAAATCTATTCGGGAAGGAAAGCAGTGTCTTTTTACGCAAAATTTTCTGGGATACTATCAACCATCGCATAAAGTCCGGTCAGAACCGAGGCGACTTGATTGATATTCTTATCGACTTCAGGAAAAAATACAACAATCAAGATTTGGAGGATTTCAGTAAGTAAAATGCAACCCACAACAACAGATTTTCAACATGGGCTTTCCTGTACGATTTGTCCAAGAAAGAAATTTGTTTTACTGATCTCATAGTATGAGCAAACATACTAAATGCTCAACTAGAGAATGCTCGATTACAATAAATTTAAGACGTCTCCTGAAGAATCTTATAAGCTTTGTGATCTATGAATTATCTAAAAATAAAAAAAGATTTCGATCGTATTTGGTCATACAGGAGTATAATACAAAGAAAAAAAAGAATAAATGTTACATGATTTTTAAGATAGATTTTCAAGATTCGTTTTACAAATCTAGAAATTAATAAAGGTAAATAGTTATAAAGGTAAATAGTAATAATAGTAATAAAGGTAAATAGTTAATGTAAAAGTTCATGATGAAGTTAGAATAACCAACGTGTAATTGAGCAATAATCTCGGAAGTTAAAGTCAACTACTTATACTAAATAATAGAATCTCTCCGCAGAAGTACAAAAATCATTTGTGCGTAAATTTTAGATGTCAACGGGGACGATTTAGTGGCACAGGCGGCCATTTTCTTCACTGGCGGTTTCGAAACTAGCTCGTCAGCGATGTCTTTTTCACTATATGAACTCGCGATGCAACCTAAACTTCAAGACAAACTTAGGAAAGAAATTAACGACGCCATCGACGAGAACGGGGGGAAACTTACATATGATATGGTATATGCTTGTCGTACGCTATTAGATCGATTGATGTTCAGTATTAAGTGTGCGAAAAATTGCTAGACCTTTTTTCGCAATATTTCGCTTCATTTTCATGCAGCCAAAAGATCGGAACTTTTGCACGCATCTAATCATTTTAATGGTATATAAAATCCGAACTCCCTTTTAATGTTAAAAAACGCGACCTTCGACCTTTAAATTAGTTTTTCAGCATGTTTCCCGATTTAGCGTCTGACATAAATACTCATAAGACTGACATTTGATGACCGTCAGGTTCTGTCATTGCCGTATCTCGATATGGTGATCTTCGAAACTTTGAGAATGTACCCGATATTGACGGTACTAGATCGCGAAACAGTGGAGCCTTATAAAATGCCAAACTCCGATTTGATTCTTGAAAAGGATACACCAGTTTTTATCTCAGTACTCGGCATGAGCTACGATCCACAGTACTTTCCCAATCCCGATAAATACGATCCAGAACGATTCAGCGAAGAGAATATACACAAAATACGGCCGTACGTGTATCTGCCATTTGGAGAAGGTCCTCGTAAGTGTATAGGTAAGAACATTGCCTTTTTTTTTATTAAATTATATTCAGTAAATTATATTAACAGGATTTTTATCTAATGTGATGCAATCGAGAAATACCTGTACAATAATTCGATCAATTTTACTTTATAAGACTTTACTTTATAAGCAGAAGTTATCAACGAATTTTCAGTTTTCTATTAATGATGATTGAAATTGACGGAAACACAAAGATATAAGAGAAAATTACAACAAGAAAATTAGCGAGAAGGAAATTGTTGTTGAACTCATGATACTCGCTTCTTCATCTTTATTCGTTAAAGTATTTCAAGAAGTTTCACAGCACATTATTATTTTTTATAGGCTCCCGCCTGGGGCTTTTGCAGACGAAACTGGGAATCATACAAATATTGAGTAAATATGAAGTAACGCCTTGTAAAGACACTCCCACAGTAATGGTAATAGATCCAAAAAGTCAAATGAGTATGCCGTTAAACGGCAAAATATATCTCAATGTACGGAAGCTTAACACAAATGTCAAGTAAAATCTGATAACATGTATTTAATCCCAGTGGTTTTTCCAACCATAAAATATGTACAGCTCGTTCGATGTGTCAAATATGATTTTTGCTATGAAATTGCAAAGTCAAATGTCCTCAAATTCCCCTAATCAAAAGAAGAATTAATTTTCTTTTCAAGAATATTCTAAACTTCATCGAAGAACAGTTAAATTCGATTAGTTTGAATAAATGTACCGAAGTTTTAGTTTTAGTTTAGCTTGTAATTTAATATTAATCGAAATATTAAACTTATTAGGATTAAGACTATATTTTGTATAATATAGATTTGAAACTTATTATATTAACATTATATTAATTTTATATAAATTATTATATAAACTTATTATATTAATATTATATAAATTTACTATATAAATTTGAAACTCAGGATGAATTTGTGATATATGTGCGGATATTAGCTTATAAAATACTTGAAATAAATAATATTGTAGTAACTTGAATGCAATATATATTTTTCTTTACGTCGATTAGTACGTGTCGGTTATTGCGATTTAATACCATATTCGTTAAGGAAAATAAGAAGATTCACATCCACTTCATCAAAAATGTCAATAAATGTTATCAATAATTGATATTTCTAATCACTTCTCCACATGTCAATGTTACATAAATGTTTGCCCCGGAAAGATCTACAATTCCGATAAGAATTATTGCACCGTTTAGAAACATAAATTACGCAATTGTAGTTATATTATAAACAAATAAGGATTATCGTATAACGCTCAGTGCCCTTATTTTGTCTTTTTTAACATATGCGTTACAGACGTAACGCATACCGCAGCGGTAAATAGATCGTTTCATTGTTTCACACGACTTTCTAGCACGTTTTCAGCACAACATGGACATCTTGCGCCAATTCATAACCCTCGATAAAATTTAGGTCCAACACTACACTCCAGAAACAAAAGAAAAGTCAAAGCAGTGAACACACACATAGATTCAGACGGTAAGAGAGTTTTGCTTGATTCCGAGACAATGCTGCTATTAAAGATGATCAGTGTTGCACTGGAAAGAGACGTTCCTCTACTCACAAATGCTTAACCATATCCGTGCTAAGCGAAGCTCTGTGAAACTTAGGAAAGTGGCTTCGGAAAGTGATATTGAAGGCGCAATAAAATGAGTCTCCTTCACACGGTTTGATATAATCAGCAGCAATGATTATACTTCAAACCTTTATACTTTGTACCTGTACCGTGTTTCCTCACATTTCTTTTCTCGTTCTCTTTTATGACAAACAACTCGATATATCAAACGACTGCAATTAGCTCAAATTAAAGCTAAAGCTTCTTAGCCTCACAGAACTTTGCTTGACACACAGATATGGTTATGCATGTGTGAATAAAAAAATTTCCTTTCCATTGCAATACCGCTGATAACTTTTGCATACTTTGCGAAAAATAGGAGAAAAATAAATGAAAACTACGAAAGAAGATTTGTTTTCTGATCGAGTTCCCTCTCTCTCTATTATTTGCGCATATTCTGGTCATTTGTTAGGTCAGAAGCTGTCGCTGAAAATACACACTTTCGACATTTGATTGACAAGTGTAGTGCGGTATATACTATCATATCGAAGATAATTATATTATTTATATAACCCGACTATATCATTAAAATAGTGATCGAATCTTAAAACTCACTAATAAGAAGCAACAGTGACCCTACGAGTTAGCAATGCGCTCACATGAGTTGNAGCGAAGCTCTGTGAAACTTAGGAAAGTGGCTTCGGAAAGTGATATTGAAGGCGCAATAAAATGAGTCTCCTTCACACGGTTTGATATAATCAGCAGCAATGATTATACTTCAAACCTTTATACTTTGTACCTGTACCGTGTTTCCTCACATTTCTTTTCTCGTTCTCTTTTATGACAAACAACTCGATATATCAAACGACTGCAATTAGCTCAAATTAAAGCTAAAGCTTCTTAGCCTCACAGAACTTTGCTTGACACACAGATATGGTTATGCATGTGTGAATAAAAAAATTTCCTTTCCATTGCAATACCGCTGATAACTTTTGCATACTTTGCGAAAAATAGGAGAAAAATAAATGAAAACTACGAAAGAAGATTTGTTTTCTGATCGAGTTCCCTCTCTCTCTATTATTTGCGCATATTCTGGTCATTTGTTAGGTCAGAAGCTGTCGCTGAAAATACACACTTTCGACATTTGATTGACAAGTGTAGTGCGGTATATACTATCATATCGAAGATAATTATATTATTTATATAACCCGACTATATCATTAAAATAGTGATCGAATCTTAAAACTCACTAATAAGAAGCAACAGTGACCCTACGAGTTAGCAATGCGCTCACATGAGTTGGCAAGACACGCAATCTCCATGGTAGGCTGTTATTACTAAGTATATGCAATCTCAGCAAATTATAAAAACTGTGTGTGTAGATGAATAGAGAAACGAATCATGGTGGGGTAAGGAAAATAGAGATCTTCAAACGTATAAAGGCGACGCACGGCACGGATTCTTATTCCACTATCGTTGCTTTCGCGGAAATGTCTCACGAATTTCTCCACGTTTTCATCCCTGATTGTGAATTTTGAATTTTAGCTTAGATTTTCTCTCACTAACGTTCGAATCAAGAACTTGTGGCAAGCAGACGTCAATTATTTATCTTCTTGATCCACACCTGAGTACTCGGTATTTCTTCAATGTACATTCTCAAATATATCTAGAAATATAAATAGAAACGCAAAAGTGATAATTTTCATAGGCAAGAAGAATAATGACGCTCATGACGAATTACTGGGGCCTGGACGGCATAATACTGCTGACAGCTTTCATGGTGGCCGCTTACCTTTTCATGACGCGTAACTTCAAGTACTGGAAGAAACGCGGTGTTGAGCAAGTGCCCCCGGTGCCGTTCATAGGCAACTTCACGGAATGCATGCTTCTGCAGAAGAACCCGGGATATTTCATGAAGGATCTGTACAATTACGCCAAAGGGTTGCCTTACATAGGTTTTTACGTTTTCGACAAACCGAGTCTGCTGGTGTGCGACCGTGAGCTCGTGAAGAACATTTTGGTGAAAGATTTCAATAATTTCTCCGACCGGCACGGCTCGCCCAACACGAATGACCGGCTGGGTTACGCCAATCTGTTCTTCATAAAAAATCCCGCCTGGAAAATCCTTAGGACGAAATTGACACCGATCTTCACGTCCGGCAAGCTGAAGAAAATGTTCGAACTGATGCTGGAGTGCGGTAACAATCTAGACACGTACATCAACTCACTGGGATTAAAGGGTAAATGTTGAATGATCTGTAAAGTATCGACAGGATAAGATTTAATTTGAAGATCTAACGAAGAGAAACAAAAAATTTGCGAGGAAACAATAAATTTCATTGAATCGTAGCGGTAAAACGCCGATTGGAAATCGATCGACGGAAATGAGAAGAAGTCGTTTCACTTTCTGCAATTGAGACGACAAATCTTATCGACCTGAGATATCGTAACGAGCTTTTAACGCATTTGTCCCGAGCAATACGATCGAAAACGCGGTGCAAAAATAAAAAAAAAAATTAGTATCAATTCTCAATTAATATCGAGACTCATATACTTATACGATAGCACGGATATGGTTAAGCATTTGTGAGTAGAGGAACGTCTCTTTCCAGTGCAACACTGATCATCTTTAATAGCAGCATTGTCTCGGAATCAAGCAAAACTCTCTTACCGTCTGAATCTATGTGTGTGTTCACTGCTTTGACTTTTCTTTTGTTTCTGGAGTGTAGTGTTGGACCTAAATTTTATCGAGGGTTATGAATTGGCGCAAGATGTCCATGTTGTGCTGAAAACGTGCTAGAAAGTCGTGTGAAACAATGAAACGATCTATTTACCGCTGCGGTATGCGTTACGTCTGTAACGCATATGTTAAAAAAGACAAAATAAGGGCACTGAGCGTTATACGATAATCCTTATTTGTTTATAATATAACTACAATTGCGTAATTTATGTTTCTAAACGGTGCAATAATTCTTATCGGAATTGTAGATCTTTCCGGGGCAAACATTTATGTAACATTGACATGTGGAGAAGTGATTAGAAATATCAATTATTGATAACATTTATTGACATTTTTGATGAAGTGGATGTGAATCTTCTTATAATATTAATTCACACGTAAACGTTTTAATCGATCACAGACCCTCTTCACGAAAGTCAAAATAGATAATGATGATAAAATTTCCGTTTGTAAATTTCTGTGAAAAAGTTCCATTTCCAATAATTAATAACTCGAAATCTTGCATGTTGTTTGCAGAAAAATATATAATCTTACATGAACATATAATCTTAGATGAAGAGATATGAAAAAAGTACATTGAATAGAAGAATCGCTATCTTCAAATTAAGAATTGCATTAATTTGAAGATATCCTTCTTTCTATATTCGACGTTATTTCCTATTAATTCTTAAAAATTATTCTTGAATAACAAAAATATGATTTTTGGTAGAACTATGAAGAATTGCTTTATGGAGAAAGAGAAGAGCAAGATCTATCTTCATATAAGATTATATATTCTTGCTTATATATATGAGAAAATATGAGTCTTGGATTTATAATAATTTATTTTCTGCGCAATAGTCAGCTCAGTGAATCGAATTGTAACGTGTGCCGACAGGTAACTCGAAAACGATAGAAGTGAAAGAACTAGCAGCCAAGTTCACCACGGACATAATTGGAAGCACCGCTTATGGGCTCAACGTGAACTCGCTGAACAATCCGAACGCCGAATTCCGAAAGTACGGCAAGAAGATATTCGAATATAACTTCTTCCGCGGCTTCGAGATAATGGCGGTGTTCTTCTTGCCAAACCTGGTTCGTTTGACCGGCATCAAAATGTTCGGCAAAGAAAGCAGCAATTTTCTACGCAAGGCCTTTTGGGAGACGATGCTTCAACGTATGAAGTCCGGCAAAAAGAGAAACGATCTCATTGACATTCTTATCGAGATAAAGGAAACGCATAGCGACCAAAATATCGAGGGATTCGGTAAGCGGAATGACAATATATACGCGTTAACAGCGCTTCAAGCTCATGCGAAAGTTACAAAATTACGCGAAAATAGAAATTAAAATTTAAAAAAGTATCGACGATAATCAGATACCATAAAATTAGGGAACCTGCATGGTTTTGCGATAAGTTCAATTGATAATTCCAATTAAATCCCGACGGAAGATTCCGATTTCAATTAATCGCGACGATTAACGGAAGCTCCGAGAGTCTCCTCCATGGAATGAAATTGTAGAATTCGACGGAGACGACTTAGTGGCGCAAGCGGCCGTCTTCTTCGCGGCCGGTTTCGAGACCTCCTCAACGATAACGGCTTTTACGTTGTACGAGCTCGCGGTGCATCCTGAAATTCAGACCAAGTTGCGAAGGGAGATCGTCGACGCGCTCGACGCATCCGACGGAAACATCACGTACGACATGGTATATAAATATCATTCGCTACTTTTGCTCGTCGAATAATTTTTATGATAACAGCTACGCGAATAAGTCGTCAATATTAATGACGAATCAATGTTCTTTTTAATGCTCTCACAATACACCGGCACTTACAGATTAATTCTGTATAATCTCACTTCAACACGCACACATATCTTGAGAATACGGATTTTCCCGAAACAAAAATGTTCTTTCTTCCTGTGCAGAATCGTGAATACTCATGTCCAGAATTCCGGGGTATGTTCAAATAAAAAGATATACGCATAAAATGGCATTTGTAATCGATTCACCACACACAGCACACACGTAAAGTACTTCGAATACTTGTCTTTTGCTGGAACAATTAGTAAATAGCTGTGAAATTAATATGACGAAATCATGAGAAAAAGTATGTTAAAACGGAAGGTTACGTATTATGTTAATTTTACAATTATTTATTGGTTATTATAGAGCGGAAGAAAAGTGTCTAGAGTATATATTTTACAGGTGCACTGTGTATATGTGCGATGGGAATCGATCACAAATATCATTTTACTGATATATTTTTTTACTTAAACGTATACATCAGGAATTCTCGACGTGCGTTTCCTCGGTTGCGACGTCATCAAACAAGACAACCGCAGCGAGAAACGAGGAACCTTAAACAAATCTGATCTCGACATTTAAGCGAACGATATAAACGTCGTTTGTGCTTATTATCAGACTCTATCGTTACCGTATCTCGACATGGTGGTCGCCGAAACGCTGAGGAAATACCCGACGCTGCCGTTCTTGGACCGCACGACAGTGGAGACCTACAAAGTGCCAAACTCCGACCTCGTCCTCGAGAAGGGCACGCCGATCTACATCTCAATGCTCGGCATGCATTACGACCCGGAATACTTCCCCGATCCCGAGAAATTCGATCCGGAACGATTCAACGAGGAGAACAAGCGCAACATACTGCCGTACACCTACTTCCCGTTCGGAGAGGGCCCGCGCTCATGTATAGGTAAGGAAATCCCTTTTAACTTCGACACACGGAATTAGAACGTATCATTTTGGGTCGTATCAAATGTTCCGGGCGCATATCTGAAAGATTTCTGATTCTCAAACCAAAACAACGTTATACGTGACGTTCGTAAAAAAAAATAAATAAATAAAAAAACGTAACTTGGAATTAAAAGAAATTAAAAAGACATACTTACGGTTTGCTATGCGTAATAGGTGATTCTGATCTGATTCTCGTTGTGTTTTCGTTGAACAATAAACGAGGGAATTGCAATGCAATAACGCATTCCGCAGGTACTCGCTTCGGGTTTCTTACGACGAAGTTGGCGCTCATCAAGATCTTCAACAAGTGCGAGGTGACACCGTGCGAGAAAACCATGATACCGATGGTACTCGATCCGAAGGCCTCCTTCGCGTCGCCATTGGGCGGCGAAATATATCTCAATATCCGGGAAGTTAATGCCAACTGAAACTCGTTTCTCAATGTGTTTCCAGCTAAGCAAGGATTTATCTCACGTATCTCGCCATGTGAGCCTTGATTCTTGCAAACGGCGCTTGATTGTCAGCGGGCTAACTTTCACGTTCTATCTCGCCAAGAATTTTTGAACTTATCGCAAAATTAATTAATTGTGAATTCGTTTGGAACAGCCCTGTGATGCACTCACCATCGCACGATGTCGTGGCTCGTGTTTTCCCGCTCTCTGGAAGATCGACATTCGTTTTAAACTGCGTCATCCACTTCCGGACGAATGCCTATGATTGTCCAATATAGTTAGCAGCCTCTTTATGTATGTTCTTGTGGAACAAAACGTATAGCCTGGTACTTAAGCGTACGATATGTATCGTGAATTTGTAAGGACGAATCGACAAATATATTTAAAGTTTGACCGCCACAAACCGGATTTTATTTCAACCGAGGAGATCACGACGGATGGATGTGAGTCCGCTTCCTCGCTCGTACTTAGTCACCTATTGACCGTGATTATTTACATCCTGGATAGCACACAAATATCCTACGAATTTTCTACGCGGAAAAAGTGCTAAATTCAAATAAATGATTATTCCAATATTCCTTAGCAAATGTTTACTTGGAATAAATAAATTCTATTTGGATCAAGTAAATATATTACTTGAATGTGTATTTCTCATAATAATATTAGTAAAATATTTTGTGCTATCTGAACTTTTTGCATGTTCTACATAAGACCATGTGTATATTCCGATCGTCTCTGTTATCAGTTGCCGAATGAATTAATTAACACGCAAGGAGGGATATTCTCAGATACTTCTTCGTCGCCGACAGAATGATTATTTTTCCTTTATTCGTCGACATTGTAAATATATATATATATATATATATATATATGTATAGGAGGCAGCCATGAGCAGCCAGTCACACGCTCTGATGTGTAGTGACACACACACATACACACACACACACACACATATATATATACATATATACATACACACACGCGCGCGCGCGTTTTTGTGTGTGTGTATGTGTGTGTGTGTGCGTGTGTGTACATATATATATATATATATGTATATATTTATTTTCATTCGCTTACTCTCATTTACAAAAAAGACTAACGACCGACCGCACGGACGAACTACTCGCCGGGCGATCGATCCACGTGAGGGGGGATTGGGAGGAAGGGTCACTTAGAATTACGCTTCTATAATATATTACTACGACACCTTGGAATCGAATGGAATGATAGATATATCCCACATATTCTTCCTCACACGCATATCGTTCGGTGACGGTGAACTCTGCATTGTAGATTTCTAATCGCAATGATTCGCGATTCAAAATATATAAATAACAAGCATTCGTACATCGCAAGAAAGATCGTCTCCTACATCGCATATTAATCATAATTATCATCAATTTCTGTCGATCTCGTTTTGTAAAATACCTCGCGCGCGCGCGCGTGTGTGTGTGTGTGTGTGTGCAACGACAATTGTACGATGACTTTAAAAAAAAATAGACAATTTAATTAGACTGAAAGGAGAGTTAACATATGTTTATCATCCTCATTTATTTGCTCAAGATTGAATAATAATATACGTTTCTCATAATTAGATAATAATATATGTTGTAAACGTTATGACCATAGACATTGATTACAGTATAAGCACTTGCTCGTGTTTTTTTTTCTGAGATGTTGGCGAACATCAAACATTCAAAATAAACGAGTCACGAGGAAAAACTTCACGCGAGCCAGATGTCATAGTGGATAATATTTTGCATAAGAAAATAAAATAGATAATTGCTGGCTCGTCAGCCAGCTCAAAATTTTATCCGATAACGTTGTAGCGGATCCTTTTTTTTTTTATTTCGGAGTTAAATTGGATCGTATCAAGTCCGAAACATTCTCCGCGATAGCTGCGGTACAAATATGGCTAGCAGTGGGACATATAATCTGTTTATTTTCAACCATGACGACAACGACGACGACGACGACGATGACGACGATGACGATGACGATCGCGAAGAGAAATAAATATGCCGCCGTCACCGAACGCTGAACGATTCAAACGCACTGCATCGCATGTGGTACTTCCACGAATGCTCTTACACACGTAACTATACACAATTCGCCCTTACAACATATCATAATATCGTAAGATCGATAATAATATTATAATATCGCGCTAGTAACTCGCCCGCGAGCATTAACAGTACTTTTGTTCTTCGTCTCAGCTCCTCGCATGTCCAGGTAAATATATATATATATTTATATATATATTTACTTATTTATATAATTACTTTTTTGTTCATATATATATATATATATATATATATATATGTATATATCTGTATGTATATACGAGAGGATCAGGTTATCGCGTGCGTTCAATTTATGTCGTACGCATAAATTCCAATTAATTAATATTTATCTAACAATGAGAAAGAGAGAAAAAAGGGAGACAGAGTAAAAGGGTAGAGAGAGGAGAGGGAGGAAAGATATCGGTGGAAGGATCACGATCGATATCCTCTTTTTACTTGGCAACCTAATATATTACGAGTGATGAGAAAGGGACGGCGAGACTGAGAGCGTACGTCGTGAACACGAAGACACGTCCGCGTGATTTGATTATTTGAATCCACGATGAATGTACGTGTGTGTCTGTGTGCACATCGAGAAGTTTCGTGTCGGAATTCGAGATCGCCGCGACACACAAACCGCTCGTCTTACGACGATGACGGCATTAATGAGGACGTTAAAATGGCTAATTATTTCCACGATTTCGAATAGAATAGAGTAGAAATCACGATAATAAAGTAAAAATACTAATTGCTTTTCTTCGGTGTTAACGCGTGAGATTGGAATTGTAAATGTGTGTGCATGTGTACGAGCTTGTTTGTACGTTTATCTCGATAATTGACGAAGACGATTCTGGAATACGGAGACAATTCTGGAATACGAGGAAAATGGGACTAAAAATTCAATTGACGAGTAAAACGACGCCGCGTATCACGGCTCGATTGGCCCATTTGTGTGTCGATTTTTATTTTACTTATTTATTTAGCCTCGTTATCGCGTGTCCTTCGTACAGATCGCGAAGAGGCTAGGATCGATATTTCGACGATCTTGCGAGTCGTATTTTATTCCACGCTTTTGTGGAACCTGAGTCATTTTTCAAACTCTCTCTCTCTCTCTCTCTCTCTCTCTCTCTCTCTCTCTTTCTCTCTCAAGATCGTGGAAAATTGATCACCTTTTGATTGAGATTTTGATAAACAGTCGATTTAGTAGGTTAAGAAATCGCAAACAAATGTGACTAGTTTTGGAGAAAAGTATCCGAACGGGTTGGTGCCGTTAAATTTAAGATTCCGGTATAAAAAATTTCGCGAAGGAAGACTGGTACTTCCATCTCCACAATAAACACACCTTCGTAACATGTATCGGGAAATCAAGATAAACGCAACAGTTGCAGTGACTGAAATAATTCGGCTTCCCATATCTGTAAACTTCGATTTGACTCGCAACTACGCTCGTACCAAGTGATTATCTGCCATTGCGCGTGGAACACATGTCGAAAACACGAGAACCGATTAAACTGGATGCGCGTTTCGCGCATCCTGTTTGGTCCTGCGGCTGAGAGATTTCAAAAAAATCATGAACTATCGTATACCACTAGCGTGAATACGTTTCTCCAATATCAGTCTTGAACATCGATGACGATCAGGCACAGAGAGTGAGCGATATGGAAGGAAAAAAGTGCATCTGATTTCCTCTACGATGTGAAGTAGAAACGTCTTAGGAATTACCTACTTTGGTCACGTTACGCGTTCTTCTTCTTTCTCTTTTTTTCTTTTTTACAAACGCTTGACCACTCCGCTCGAGCTTAATGCCTATGTGATTCGGTAAAGAAAAATGTGTCGCAGTCTGATCCGTTTCCTTATTAACAGTTTACCGGATATGCTTCGCAATGACGTTAGACCTAACATTCTTCGCAAGACACGTCGAAAACAATTTCAATGCGTTCTCATTATTTACGAAACGACGCGATGTTTTTCCCTGTTCCTCCATTGTTTTCTTCCGCGTTTGTGTACAGCGCTGAATCCCGTCGAGATTGAAGTCCTCAGGTACGAGAGTCTCTTGCCTCGCGATTACTTAACGTCTCGGTGCGTCAAGAGTCAAAATCAAATGCCTTCTTTCATTCACATCGCGGAGAATTTGATTATTCATTACTTGTGTGTGTGTGTGTGTGTGTGTGTGTGTGTGTGTGTGTGTGTGCGCGCGCGCGCGCGCATCGCTACGTAAACCGGCGTAGTAGATTCTCTCGCTCGCAAACGAGACATCGTCGAGACTTTCCTAATCTCGTTTCGTTCTCCTCCCTTTCTTTCTTTCCTCGTTCTTTCCTTCCGCTTCTAACGACAAACGATTTTCCCCCGTCTGAGAAGACGAGAGCGTGCCAGCCAATTTGATTCTTAATTCCGAGGAAGGATCACATGAGGCTCGCTGTTTGATACAGTTATCTCCTACTCGTGCGTCTCAACAGCAGGACTCGCCGAATAAAAAGTTTCCGGGCGTAATTTTTATTTTTCGAAAGAAACTGAAATTACCTATTCCAATCGCATAGCGACTCCACGCGGACCTCGTCCTCCCGGTCGTGTCGTTCAGATCCACGTAGTTTCATCGGCGAGTCCTGATTCTACGGCACGATGAAGAGAGAAAGAGATAGGGTAGGTAGAAGTAGTCGTGTTAATTGGTCAAATAATCAGTCAAGTATTTGACACACAGAATCGCTCGCCGCGACCGAGCTTCTCCTCGCGCGAAGACCGCCGCACAAACTGAAATACGCCCGGAAGCGTGCCTCCGGGACTGAAGACAATAACGTAAGACTAGAGTTCAACAATACATGCGGCTTTTAATCACCGTACAGACGCAGTTGACGGAGTATAAAAATATAAACATCTAAAAAATGAAAAGCGGGACGTCGTACAGAAGTAATCGCGTTTTGCGCGTGTGCTTATGCGTGTGTCTGCGCGTGCCGCGCGCCTCGACGATCTTCGAAGAGCCACGCGCGCCCGTCTGAACTTTCGAACGAAACAATAATCGCTGGAGAGACAGTCGGTCCGAGAGGGGAACCCCCTTAGGCTACGTTCCGCCTCTTTCCAAAATTGCGTTCTCTTTCGTAATTTGCCTCGTTCGGAGATACGCTGAGAGAGCGTCTCGCAAGGAAACTTGCCGATCGCCTCGAATGAGGTTCTCGCGAATTTTCTGAAAAGTTCCCACTTAATTCCGGCTATAATTGCAAAAGCGCAACTGATTCAAGGTTAACAATTCTCCGTCACTTCCCACACAAAAGCCATTTTATAACATGCAAATGCGAATAGGGGAGGATGATTCACTGAGTGTGAGTGTAATTGGCGCTAGTTGACGCACGTAGTCAACTCTTGCAGAGGGAGCAGAAGGCCGCCTTATCGAGTTACCCCGTGTCATCTGATGAAGCAACGGCGGCAAATCGAGGTTTTAATTCACCGTTTAAGCGTCGCAAATCGTTCGCCCGAATTGAATTGCGTTTTAATAGCGCCGACGCAAACAACAACGAAAGGATTATCCGCGAAGCAATTTTCCCAGCGTTCTCCGAACTGTCGATAGTAGAATCAACGAGACTTCCCTGCCGCGAATCGTCCTCCTCCGACGGTGCAGCAATGAAGCGCGATTATTCCGACGAATCTCCCCCATTTTCTCTTTTCGCCTTATGGTAACTGCTAATGCTATGAGAGACGAGAATAGTCCCCGAGTGTGAGATATATATCCGGGAGTACTCGAGAGAGAGAGAGAGAGAGAGAGAGAGAGAGAGACAGCCCCCTTCTAGGCGGCAACGAACGAGCATCTCGGCGGATTATCTCCGCGCGCGCGCACTCTCGGAGAACGCAACGATATTTCTAGGAAATGCTGAGAATATTGCCTGAGAAAACGGGGATCCATTCCCAGAAGATTCTAAAAATAGCGCGATAACATTCTCTTACCTCGCACACCCTTAGCGGTTACGCGGTCCCTGAAACTTCATCGTACATCGATACGACAGAGCCACGCTTACGTATCTAATCGTGTGTGCCTCCTCCTTCTTTTCCCTTGCCTACTTAAAACTACATCCACTCGCTCGTATGTATACACTACTGATTTTCTCCCCGTTTATATATATATATATATATGGGGATGTGTGTATCCTTGCGTCTCTGTCATATACACCCGCGCTTGCGTATATTTATATATGTATAATAACGAACAACATTAATGATTAACTCTCTCATTAGGCTACTCTTCGAATGGACAATAAATAAAATAGTCTATGTATACACCGTGCGTCCACGTTCTCCGCACAGGCCGTGAGTGTCCCTCGCGAGTAACGCAATCCCAATCCCGCCACTTCGAACGTCACGACGCAAAAAAAACACTCGAAGTCGGCGACGGGGAAATATTATGGTCCTATGAGGATCCCTCCGGAAGAAGAATTCGATCGACGGAAATCACATGCACATGAATGGATCTAAATCCTCTCTCCATAATCGGCCTGCTCGAGCAAACACGTTCCATCGAATCGACGACTGCCGTTTAATTACACAAAGGGAAAGATTTTATTTATATATTACACACGATCGGCGCGGAGATGTTTGTCATGCATTCTCCTCCCGCGATGTGCGCATCGCCCGAATGTCCTCGAATATCCGTGTTCGTCGCCGGTCGCCGAATAACAACCGACATAAGCTAATTGATAGAAGGCTAAAATTCTGCTTCGAATTTTTCCTTATATTTCTCCAAAAACTAATTTTTCTAATTTCATCTGTTCTTTTTTTCTTTCTTTCTTTTTGCGAAGTAACGAGCGACAACGAGAAACTCCCGGGTATTCCCAGGTCTAGATTAGCGCTCTTTCCTCTCTCTCTCTCTCTCTCTCTCTCTATCTTCCGCGATCAAACCGTCCGCTCGAGACTTAACTATTGCAGCAGAATAAGTTCTCGGGCCACCAGCCGCGAAGGCCGAGCTTCTTCTCGGAGGAATCCTCGACCACAAGAACGTATCACTTGATCTCCTCCCTGCTGGGCGACCTCGGCGGGTGCGGCGACAAGGGCGTCTCGTTCAGATGCCTCTTCGGCCGGAAGCTGGCCGTCAACGAGGATATCCAGCCGCTCTGCGAGCCGTGATCGTGCAGGGAGTCGCTATTGCTGTTGCTGCGCGTGCTGTCGATGCTCATCCCGGACTTGAACCGCGAGAACAGACCGGGCGACTTCTTCGCCGAGCCGGGCGAGCAGAAGGCGGGCTTCTTGCGCGACTTGCAGACGTCCTTGCAGAGCATCGAATCGAGGCTGCCGGTGTGAGGACGTTCCTCCGCCTTCATGATCGCCTCCGCCTGCTTCGCCATCTTGGAGATGTCCTCCATGCTGGCGGAACTCCGGCGGATCTCCACCTTGCCGAGGTCCTCTTCGATGTCGCAGCAGCTGTCGTCGGGATTGACCACGATCTCAGGCTTGGGGCGCACGTCGATCTCTTGGAACTCGATATCCAGACACCGTCGTGACTTCACCTCCTTCATGCTCTGCGACTTGCCCTCGGGATTCGACAGGTTTCTGCGGTGCTTAGAGAACGTGCCGTCGGAACCAGCCGCCGGCAGAGCCTCCAAGGAAGTGGAGGACCTCTTCTCCTTGGCGAACACCGTTCGCCAGCTCCTGTTCTTGCAATCGGTGGACTTGCGCACCTTCGGCAACGTCATCGCCCTCTTGTCCACCGACGACAGCTCCACCACGGTCGCGATCGCCGCCTTGTTGCCGTCCTTCGTGGACTTGGCGAGGTTGCAGCGTTTGCAGATGAACAGCGAATTGTGGTGCCTCGACGAGGTGGTCGTAGCCGAACCGCTACTTACCGAGTTGCTCTTGTTGAGCGTCTTCGACGCGTGCTTCAGCTTCGGGCTCGGCGAGTCCTTGGAGTCGAAGCTGATGCTCAGACGGTCCGTGAAGTTCCTCAGCCGCGAGAACAAGGACTTGTGGTTGTTCGGCCCGGCCTTGTCCTCGCAGCAGCATCGCATGCCGATCGACTCGCGGCTGCTGTGCGCGTCCCTGCGGCTGGATCGGTTCTCCTGGTCGTTCTCGACGACGCTGCTGGTCTTCCTCAGGTTGTTCCGCGGCTGCGAGCGCGACTCCACCGCGACCACGACGTTGCCGTTTCCCTCAGGCACTCTGCCCTCGATCTTGACGTCTAAAAAAGCCGTCTCCTTCTCCGCCTCCTTCTCCTCGAGGATCCGCGTGCCCTCGGCCGACCTCGCGCTAACCGGCGAGCTCAGGTCGCTGCCGAGGTTCTCGCCCTTGCTGCGCCTCCTCTCGCGCTCATGGTCACGGACAGCCTTCGCCAGGTCGTGATTGTGATAATCCAATGAAGACTTCTCCCGGCTGCCCTTCCGGCTGCCCGGGTAACTCTTCCGGCCGCTGGTCGGCCCGGCCAGCGTGCCCTCCGTGGAGATCTTGAACTTGAGCGTCTTCTCGCTGATCTCTACCTCCGTCGCCGTCTCCGGGTCGGAGCTCTCGATGTTGTCGCCCTCCTCCATCGTCAGGTTCTCCGTGATGTCCTCGTCGGTGGAGCGCGAGCGAATCGTCCCGGCGGACCTCTTCGAGCGCATGCTGTGCGACGACATAGACTTGATGACGGCGGTCGAGCCGACGGTGCCGCTTTGCATGGTAGCCGGAGCCGACTCGCCGACGTCCACGACGCTCTTCCGATGGTGACGCTCGTCCTTGGCCGCCTCGTTCAGCCTGCGGTAGTACTCCAGGGCTTCCCTGACCGGTTGAACTATGAGATCCTGGAAGATAGGCCGAATTTCACTCGAATTCGTAAGCGCGACACTCGCACGGCGTGCCGGAACGGTCGTGAGAAACGAAGGTATACCTGCAGCTCGGGTAGCAGTTCGCCGAGAGCTTCGAAGAGAGGGAGGAGAACTAGGCCGATGAAGCTAACCTGGGACGACGGTTTGGTCACTTTGTCGCGATCCATGAACGGCGTGACCGGAAGACCCTCGAGTTTCTCAGCGTCACTCTGCTTGAAGAACTCCTGCAGCAGCCTGTCCAGCCACGGTTCCGCCACTTCCATCGGACGAGCCTCGTTACTTATGTCAGCTACCTTAATCAGGATCATGGACAGCTACGGAGATAATTAAATCACCTCACTATCATCGTCGAACCGTCGCCGTTGAATGTCGCAGCGTGAACAGCACCAAAGCCTGCCGCAGAGACGCAGGGGAAAAGCACCAAACCAATATACGCTTTCGTTTTTCGGCCCTAAAGTCTTATTGAAGGTATGAGATTTCACTTTACGTGCATAGATGCAAACTAGCGACACTTCTCTACGAAAATGTACGATAGTCTTATGAGAATTATTATATGTTTCGTAAATATCTATTTTTTAAGATGCTTGAGGATTAACGCCTCTAGAAACTTCCAGGCCCCAAAACCGATATACCTGTGATACCTGTAGGAAATTATTAAAAATAAAAGTAAAATAAAAGCATTGGAATTACGTTGTTTTGTATATTTATTATGTATCCTTATATCTGATCTTTAATTTCTTATATATTTCTATAAACTTTAAACATTTTACAATTTTAAACATTTCTACATGTATATCGCTTCTTTATTATGTGAAAAAGGATTCCCTAACTTTTTCCGATCTTAAACAAGCAACAAAAACAGAAGAAAATCAGTTGCAGGTTCAACTATATTCTATGAAATATTTCACAGCAAAGTTCAGATATATTGATCGAAACACCAGTTTTCCCGTGTGGTCCAGTGACAGAAGATAGAGATTGGCACAATATTAAAAGAAAACTAAAAAGTTCAAAGCCCACACTATAAAATAGCATTGTCAAATAAATTATTTATTTGTTGTTTTAATTTTCATAAAAAAATAGCTCAACTTTAGTGTGAAAACTTGAGTACAACGGAAAGCGGTGCTAGTAACACACATTAACGCTTTCAAGCAAAAACAGCCACTTCAGCTCCAACTATTATACACAGTAGACGAAGTTCATGTTCCGTTCGACATAGTTTAGTATATTAGAGCCGAAAAACATTAGTATATCAGTTTTCCATGCCTATGTTAGTTTTCGTGTTTTCCCCTTGACATAGCGAACAGAACGAAAGCGCAGAAGCGTGCGGAACTCGAGGAACTTGAGAACTACTTCTAAAAGGCACTACTACGCTATACACCGTCGGTTCGAACGTCTGTAAAAATGATCTGTGAATTACCAGATTTATGTGCGCCTTGCTGGTGTAATCGAATTCCGGAATGGTGTCAGTGAACTGGGCGAGGATCTCGTTGTGCCGGGCCATATCGGTGGCCAGGATGCACCGGATGATCCCTTCGCGCACTATTCTGTACGTGGGATTGTCTAAAGACGCGAGGATGTTGCACTCGGGCGCCTCCAGTACCCGGAACGCCACGGAGCAGTGGTGATTCTCCAAAGGCGAGATGTCGTTGTAGCGCAGCGCCAGCTCGGTCCGCGCGTTTATCTGATAGATATTGTTGTAGCCCGGATGGTCGAGGTCGTGGCAAATACAGGAGACGATCAGTATGAGGACCTCGAGGTCGCCGATTTTCGACGGGAGGTCCACCGCCCAAGCTATCGCGTACATCTGGGTACGATCGATTTGGTACTAAATGAGCGGTTCACGCGACTCGGTCTAGAGTTAACGAAGGTACACACTATCGTGCACGTTCCAGACGAAATCGGAAAGTAATTTGTTGTAATTTGTAAAACCAGTGTCAGATTACTACGGATTAGGATTGAGATTGGATTTAAATCAGAGCAAAGCTCGCTAAACTTGAATTTAATGAATTTTGCTTCGATTCGCTAAATTTCAATCTCAATTCTAATCAGAATTCTGATGTGAGTTTCAGAGCCGATTTAGCGTAACATATAGAATGATACAATGCGTACACTGAGAGAAAAGATATCTAAAAAATGGAAAATATATATTTAACGGTACTAATAATATATTTGTCTACATATATATATATATATATANGCGTAAAGACAATTGTTTATTTTATATTTGAGTTAAAAAATTGAGTTAAAAAATATTTTATATTTGAGTGAAAAAATTTATATTTAAATAAATATGCGTTATTTATGGTATATTTACCGAATAAATATCTCTTATTTTTCAGATAGTTTTTATCTCAGTGTACTTAATCTATAATAGTTGCTTTTCTTATTCACGTTCATTATAATTTATACTAATCGCGATATTGTTGGTAATTATTATAGATATAATTAGAATCGATATTATTAATATATTTATTGTAGTTATATTACAATTATATTGTCACTAATAAGATTATAATACTAATAGTTAGGACATAATATTATGCTCGTTATAATTATAATCGCAATATTACTAATATTTATTTCACTTATAAACGTAATTAGTATTGTTAGTCGTTACAGTTATAGTCAGACTGGCTTCGGCACTGATTCAATGTCATGTTTCTCGATAAGAATTATCTTTCTTTCAAGGAACTACTGGCATTAAAAAGAGCAATAAAAGGGGAACTGGCATTAAAGACGACGTAGGTACTCACCATTTGCGCGACGCAGAAGCAGTGCCTGAAATTGTGAAACGGCACCTCGTTGTAGTTATTGTAGACCTCATAGAGGAAGTTCCTCAGGATCGGCAAGGGAATGTTGAACTTTTCAGGTAGGTCTAGCTCGACGAACATCGTTTGCAGCATCAACAGCAGCTCCTCGTCCTCCCATTGTCGCGCATCAAAGGCCGGCGAGCGTAGCCATTCGCGAACGCTCGACGAGACCGTCACGTCACTAAGAATGGTACAAACTGTCATTTATAACTCCTCTCACATATAATTTTTAACAAAGTCTCTCGTTATACCGCCTAATTGAATCGTAAAGATACCTTTCGCCGTATCTATCCTCAAGAGAACGAACGGACAAACGAAATACCGAACCAATTGTCTCGTCCAAGGAAGTTAAAAATGAAACACACAAGGAATCAACTCTTTCGACCCCACTTATGAAGCACGAAAAAACCGTTGGGTTGTTCTGTAAACCCGATGTACCCGAACTTACCTAAACTTTTCTAGAAACGTTACTTCTCAAGCATCTTAGAAAATAATTATTTGTAAAAAAATATGTAATCGTTTTTTTTTAAACTATCATATATTTTGGCAAAGAAGTGTTTCCGGTTTGCATCCACGCGAAAGAATTTAATTTTAAACCTCCAACAAGATTTTCAAGCCTAAAAACAAAACGGTATTTCGGTTTCGGTGCTTCTCCTGTACATGTTGTTACTTGTGGAAGAATAAGTTAGATACAATACTAACACAAAATACATTTTTCAACTCACTATAAGAGCTGTGTAACCCAACGGGAGATCGAAAGGGTTAAATAAGGATAAAGTACCAACTGAGAATCACACGATGAGCATAGAACGAGACGTTTCACAGAAGTATCTTCCCTCACCGCGATCGACGGGCGAGAAAAAGAGACAAAAAGAAAAAGAGAGAAAGAGAGAAATCGCGAAAAGCGGTCGCGCGGGAAAGACACCTTTACGGCGCTCACGGACGTTTATTTACTGACGACCGCTAATTGGCAATCCGCATTTAGTCGGCGCGTCGATTCGCGATGCTTGCGCGTGTGCGATAATGCGCGCTTTGTGATGCTCACTATTATACGCTAACCATAGTGAGCCGTATTACTCAGATAACGGTAGCTTAATAGCATTTCGTGGTAACATGACAGAGGCTAACCACCGGCGGAGAAGCCCGTTACAGCGAACGGAAGTGAACGGAACTCTCGCGAGTCAATGGAGAGATGTTATGTGACATAAGGTCTTCGCTGTTTTCTTCGAATCGCTGACCCTTGAACCCATGCACAGGCCAACCCAGTATTGTCACACCCGGTCTGCCGACCGACTCCATCGAGGGGCCTCGAAAGACGTGTGCTGTCGAAGTTTATCAAGCGAACTGCCCCTCACCTGAAGCTGACACTGCGGATTATTCATGTTTTTTTTAAGGACGATTCCCGTCAGTTAATCCCCTCAATTCAGACTCAAAAACCTCCAACCGTATTCCTGAGATACCGCACCAATCATTTCGCTCAAAAGAATATTAACTGTCGCGATGGCCACCCGTAACCGCAGCGCTACAACATTGCCGTGCCTCGCTAATTTTAGCGTGGGACGTAGCCAACTGCGTATGACAAATTAAATATACAACCGATAGAGAGCCAATGAAACCAACTAACGAACACACACGTATCACGCGAATTGCATTTATTTATCCTATATACGGTGACTCGAACGTGAGTTGAGCATTAAAATAATCAACGGAAATTAGCGTGGCAGATCAATGTCGTTAAGGTAGTTCGTCCGTTGAGCCACCCATTTTAGACACCCTTTTAAATTTCAGCCGCATATTAATGGAAACACTATCTACGCGTCTATAAAATGATAAAAACCGACTGACCACGCAGAAATCGAGATATTCCCAACGAAAGATAGACATTGAAGCGAAACGCACAGAGTCGAAAAGTGAGCACGACGATCTTAAATACCAATCTGACCAATCTGAATAAGTGCCGCGTTAAAAATGATACGCACAGGGAATCAAAACGCGACTGAAGTCCTTCCCCTCGTCGTGTCGCTGCGAACGAGGGGAGAACCGCTAAGTAATTATTCGCGTAATTAATTCGCGCGACTGACCCGAATATCTGGCGAGTGGCGGTAGGTATTCGCGTAAAAGAGTTGAATCGGGACAAGTTGCGGAAGAAGGGAAACGATTATGGCACGCGGAGGTTTCGAGGCTCGCCTTGATGCGGCGGCCTCGCCCGGAAGCGCTCTCTGACTGCTGCCATAATCGTTCGCGAGGAATCGTTTGGTGAATTACGGTAAACGGGAGCTCCGGCTTAATGTACCGTGCCGAATTGTCCCGCAAGTATAACGCTCCGAAGGGACAGGAACGTCTCGCCGCGAATGCCGCTGCCTAATGGCGCGATTTGCATGTCGATGTGGCGTCTCTGCGTGCGTGACTGCCACCGGAGGTGGAAACAATCGGCGGGGGAAAACGTTCCCAACACCGTTCGTCCTGTGCTCGAGTATTCATCTTCTTCTTCTCTTCTCCTCGCCTTTTTTCACGCACGCGTCCATCATGTCCCCCGACGACAAGATGAATTAAGGATAACCCGCGCACACGCGCGCACCGCTGTTACGTTTCGTGATTTTTCCTCATAACGCGGGACGCGGTCGAGGGGGAGGGTTGATTAATGGAAAACGAGAGTTATGGGCCTCTATGAAGACCATGTGCGGGATTTTTGTTTATTTTACTTACTTTACTTTCCTTATCCGTGCGCGAGAAGGAGATATTGCAATAAAAATTACTGCAAAAGTTTGCAATGCTGGATTATACCGGAATTATTGTCGAAATTATCGCAACCTGTGTTGTAGTCTTTAATAATGTGTGTATATATAACGTACGTCACTAAAGATTACAACACACATCATAATTTCAGTCATAATTCTCGTCCAGCATTACAAAGTTTTGTGTAATATTTACTACGATATTTTCTCCGTGCAGAAGAACTAATCGTGTGCCGTCGTGCGTAGTTTGCACAACTACGTGCTCTTTCCGGTTTCTAGACTGCAAAACACACAACAAGATGTTGGCGAAGCCGAAGTGGAATAATATCGGCGTGAACAACACGCTCCGGAGGCCGCCAGTACTCGGCCGAAGTTACGGCCGTGCTCTTACTCGGACGCATCTGCATAAGAATGCGGTACTTCGAGGCGAAATAGGATTAGGCCCTTGAGCCGTCGTAAGCAACTTTCTAGCTCGAGAGATCTCCGGAAGGTGTCCGGGAGTTTCACCGAAAACGCTCTTCGCTCGCTCTTCAATCGCCTCTTTCAGCTCGGGTCTTACTTTTCGACGAAGATCACAATTGTATAGTACACTGAGTGTAATTAGCGGGAAAGTTTAATGCGCTTACATCGTCGACAACAACGACGACGTCTCCGTAAGACTCACGTTGTTCGTGAACGAGTGGCGAGAGTCTAAGCAGATTTGAAAGACGAACGGAGCTTATTAACATAGAGACTAAGTCTCGCGCAGTGTCCCACATCGGGCAAGAATTCACGATGGAAACGAAGAACAAAAAAGCACGTGAAAAACTGGAAAGCAAAGTATAGAAGTACCGGCGTAGGAATTTTCCCAAATTTTCCCATATACGAGATGTTTCAAAGGACAAACTTCAAGAAGTGATAGATTTCACCGAGAGAATTAATTTTTATTAAGGAAGCCGTATCCACCAACATGTCCTTAATCCATTTCAGGCCGGGCAAAAATATTGAAATCCATGAGATCCGAGTATTTTAGGGTAAGTGGGAGCCAAGGAATGAAAAAGAAACTAAAATCAGAATGTCCGACCCTGTTTGAAGTGGATTAATGTCATAGCGGTTTCTCGTGAAAATTTTACTTTTGTATAGTTTAGGAGATGTTAAAAGTAGGAATTAAAAATAGCACGCTAATCTCTCTCAACGGACACGTATAAAAAATGTCAACTTTGATCGCAAACATCTCAGTTCTCGAGTGGTCAGTCTTTTTCTCCAATTGCGCGAGCAGTTTGATAATATTTCAACGTGTACGCGGTGCAAGCTTCACTCATTTTGCTTCACGATCTCTTTAATAACATGAATGCAGTGTGTATATGTGTATACTTGTAAAATATGAATACTTAAAGTGTATATTTTATTTCATCGTAGTATAAAATGGGAACCAGAAACAATCTTCGAAAAAAAAAAAAAACATCGGGGGTGACTAAGTAGGATCTATTTATATTCGCCGTTTAGGGAGAAATATATATTTGAAACGTTACAAACATCTAACCGGAATCTGCGTAGATTTCCCGCCTGGAATCCATAATTATCTTGGGAGATCGGGCTGGAGATCCCAATCGGGTCCTGAGAAATTTTCTACACGGATGAAAAAAAGAAAAACACGAAAAATTACACCACGATGTATCGAAATCAACGGACGATGGTCGTGAGACGCGGTTATATTTCACGTCTCGCGAACTGCCCGGCAATTTCCGCATGAAAATTCACAACATGGGCAGGAACGACAGGGGGAGGACGTAATGACGTTTAAGGGCTAACTGCATTATCCGCACGATTCGCGCTCGTTGCCGTTATTACGTTCATTTTGATATTGATTCCCTTAGACACCCCGCAATCGACTGATAAACAGATTACGCGCTACGTATGCAAATTAATCTCGCAATCGTGTAACCGCTTCGGCGCGATGTTTAAAGCCCCGAGCCAAATGAACCGCAAGTTTATCGCTTCACTTGCGTCACGCTACCGCCCTATGAATATAAAGGAGAAAATTACGTTGCAAACACGACAAAAGGCGCGCGCGCGCGCGCACACACACACAGACGCACATGTATGCACGCACATAGACGCGATGCATATGCAGAAGGCACTACGGCCATTCACGCCGCGTAATTGTTCCGCTGAATATTTTCTTCCGAATCACTTGTACCATGTGCATCAAACCGCGCGCACACGGTCTCTCACGCTGATTTGCGAGTTGCACGGTGGAAAAAAGGAACCTGCGCGGAATTCGCACCCCGAAACTTCCTTTCCGTCCTCGCGAACTCCGCGATGTCGGCCGGTCCGGCCGAGAAACGTGCGAAATTCACGGGTTCGAAATTCGCGAGCGGAATTCTCCTCCGTGCCGTCGGGGTCGGGAACGGAGGTAAACAGCACGAGGTGGCGATTCGAGAGCGAAGTTTGCCTCACGAAGAAC